GTTTACTCGTTTTTAATAAAATTAGAAGTTAATATTTATTTTATATTTTTTAAAATTAATATTAGAAAAATAGTCCCTCAATAAAGAGTTGATATCTTTTTAGCTTTACATTCTTTTTTTTATTAAATTTTATTGAATTTTAATTCTTTTTTTATTGTATTTTTATTAATTAAAAAAATAAATAATAATTCATTTGATCTCTCAATTGTAATTAAAAATTTATTTTAATATTTTTATATTTTAAACAATTAATTTTAAAAGTCAATACAAATTATTAAATGTTGTTAAAAAATAATATCACATAAAAATAAATAAATAAATAAAATTGACGTTTTTACACAAATATAACCCTAATATAAATTAATTACATATTAGACACCATTTTAAAAATATTTTAAAAATTAACATACAGTTTTTTACATGTTTCACAAGGTGCGGTGCATGGGTTTCACAAGGTGTAGTGCATGGGACGCATCTTTTATCACGTAGCATAAAATACGGTGCATGGGTCGTGCCTTTTTACAAATAATGTTAGATCAATAAATAAATATGAAAGAATGTCTGACAAGTAAATAAAATTAGTAAGGGTTATTTTGAGTTTTTGGGTATAATCGCCTCACCTCTCAGCAATAATTTTTCTTCGACAACAACTAATTTCACATTAATTTAACATAAAATAATAATAATAATAATAATAATGAGATAAGGGAAGTCTGACGTGGAGTTATTACACTGTTTCAAGAGTTTCGGCTGTAATAATAAGTTACCAATTTTCGTCGGCAGTTTTCAAAATTTTTTTCCTGATCACGTGCGATATTATTAATATATTGATAAAAAATATATTATTATTAGTTTTGTTATTATTTAAATAATAAAATTAATAAAAATTATCTAAAATATTATTATTTTTATCGTTTTTTATTATTAGGTGTTTTATTGATTTTGTTATTTTTTATCGGTTTTATTATTGTTAGACACTTTATCGAAAATGTTAAAAAATATTGATGCTTTAGATAGAAATAATAATTTTTAAATAATTTTTATCGGTTTTATTATTTAAATAATAACAAAACCGGTAACATATTTTTTTAGTTATATATTAAGGATGTCGTACTGTAGAACTTCTTCTTCTTTCATGGCAACGGTGGTGGTCGACCACTACAATGTAATTTTTAGTTTTAATTTATTATAATAATATTCTTGGTTCTTTCTCCAATAAAATATATCATGATTACCTGTATTTTTAGACTCTCGATGCAGACTTTTTATTGATCCTTTTTCAATTATTTATTTTTTCTGAATACATTTTGTTGTTTTCTCGATGTGCAGTTCATCTGTTCGTTTGTACAATAAGATCAATTGGTTATCGTATATATATACCGAATGAGATTACTGTTAAGGGGATCGTTTTTTTGTTGGTCACTTTGGTTCTTGTTTAAGTTTCTCTTATCTATATTTGATGCATGGAGTCGTTGGTGTGTTCAATTTATGTACGTCGTTACTTCACCTGTTAATGATTCTGTTTATAAGTTATCTCTAAGCGATCATTGTTATATTTTATTTTCGATTGTTACTACTAAATTTAGTTACGATTGTTACTACTAAATTTATTTAGTCTGTAATTAACAAGACGATTGTTAATATGACTTGAAATATCTTGATTATTTTTTTAAAAACATACCACTAATTATTATTTTATTTTCTTTAAAAACACGTGGCGTCATTTTAAGACGAAAGCTCACTGGGACCACGTCGGTGTGCTTCTCCCGTCGCCACACGCCCCTACAAAGATTCCCTGCCGCCATCTTTCTCCACACTATTTATCACGTGCTTCACAATTAAATAATGGTCAAATTATATCATTAGCCCTTGCACTATATAAAAGTTGTGCACAATTAAATAATAGGTTCAACTAGTATTGTCCAAGTCATGATTGAATTTTAAAATCTATAACTAACGTCGAATACGGGGACTAATAGAAATTTTTAATGTTTAACATATTTAATTCAAATTTTAAACACTTATAATAATATCTATTACAACGATAATTTTGATTCGATATGTCAAAAATAAAAGATTATATTATGCACACATAGGACTATTTTTTAAAACACGTCAGACCCAAACTATTCGTGTAATACTTGCAAAAAAAAAAAATTAACAAGGGGGAAATGAAAAGAGTTATTGAGGGAGAAATTCCGTATAGATATCAACTGAAATTTTTGATAGCATATCTTTTGCTATTTCATTTGAGATTAGGGATAGGCATGAGATCCGAATTCGACGGATATTTTCAAAAAAAAATTAGATTCAGGTCGGGCAGGGTTGATTTTTTTAAAGGTGATGTTCGGGTCGGGTTGGATTCGAGTTTAGGATGAAAAATACCCGACTAGTAAAAATATAATTTTACCTTATATTTAAAAATATATTTAGGAATAATTACAATAATACCCCTCTATATATATTATTTTTTTCAATTAAATCATTGTTTTTATTGAATAAAAATAATATTTTTTTATTATTTCGGGTCGGGTTCAGATTTTATCTCAAAAAATCGGGTCAGGTGGAGGGTATATATTTTCAGTTCAGGTCGGATCGGGTGAATGATATAAAATTTTTGGATCAGGTCGGGTTGGCCAAAACCCGACTAATGCCCATATCTATTTGAGATTCGGTCGACGTAAACAAAAATATATTTAAGATTTGATCAATGTGTTTTATATATGGTTCGTATCATATCTAAATTATAATTTAACGATTAAGGTGATGACTAGGCTATCAAAAAGGTTTGATTAATACGATGCCAATACTTAAATGATTTAATAATTTGAGGACCGTATGACATATTAACACATAAAATATGACAATGAATAGGGTAAACTATGCATTTTAGTACCTAAACTACACATTTAGTATCTAAACTATCAATTTTGATATCTTTTAGTACCTAATCTTTTAATTTTTTTAAAATCATACCTAACGTTTAGTTTTTGTTTCATTTTAATACTTCTTCGTTAAAAATTTAACAAGTTTAGTACCTAAACTATCAGTTTTGGTCTGTTTTAGTATTTAAACTTTTATTTTTTTTTCAAAAGCTTAACGTTAAATTTTGAATGGGTTACTAAATTTAAACAAAATTAAAATTTAGGTATAATTTTAAAAAATAATAGTTTAGATATTAAATACGTAATTTGCCGTAATGAATATTTTTAGATTTAGATGAGTGTGAAAGCATTGTCTGTTAAACGGGATCAAGCAAAACACTTTGTCCGTACCAAGAGAAAACAAAACATAAACCAACTGGAAACGTAACTAGTTAATGGAGTTTGCTGTCTTCTTTTTCCAACCCATGAATCCGATTACACCACGTCTCCTAAACCTTTAATTAATTTATTCATTTTAATCCATTGGTGATTAGTTTAATTAAATTCCTCGCTTTTTGTAATGAAATCTAGAAGAAGCTTACCTGGTTCATGCCCCATGGACAACTACATGCCCTCAAAAAGAAAGAATGAAAGAATATTTATTATTCTAATATCCACACTCCAATTATTGTAGTTATTGCTCTCTAAGCTTGGTTTGGAACGAGATCATCATTTTATTCGAATTTAATAAGTTTTGACATAATTTAATCTTATAAGGTTAGATTCTTTAAAATAATCGAATTTATATTGAATTTCATGAAAGAAGAGGTCAGGTAAGGGTGAATTTAGGTTTAAGATGAAAAATTCTCAACTCGAAATGATAGTATAATTTTATTCTATATATTTAGAGATATTTTCGTAATATTCATCCTTTTATATATGTATACCTTTATTTCATCGAATAAAATTAAATTTTTTAAATATTCAGATTAAATTGACTGTGAATTTTTACTCTAAAATTTAGATTAAATTTTAGATGGAAAAATATGTTTCTAGAGTTAAGTCAGATTGATCGAAAGCTCGGTCTAACCCGGCCCTTAACCCTTCCTATGTGTATAGCTTTCAAAATCATTTTTATTCTAAATCCAATGTGATTTACTGTATGAATAATAAACGAGCCTTTTATAATAGACAATGTTACAAATTTGAGAAAAAATAATGGTATAAAATTATAAATAAAGAACATACATATTTTAGGTATAAAATCTTAGACGAAAAATATTTTCAATAGAAGGAAAGGAATATATCATAGTAAAAAATTAGACATTAAAAATTTTACAAAACACTAGATATATAAATTTACATTTATGTAAATATATGAAACAAGTTTTAATAATTGCATATGTAGGTGTATATAATTTGTCAATTATTAAGAAATATTTTGAACAAATACTGTATAATAACAATTTTTTCAAATCAATTAAAATTTGAATTGTAATCTCCGATATAATCCAATGAATTTATTAAACTCTCTCTTTGATAATAGTAATCCCTATTTTTTAATCTTCATGTAGTCATTCTCAATACTTATCAAAATGTAACCTAACTAAAATCATATGGTAGAACCAATATTTAACATAATAGGTTAATGGTATAATGTCAAAATTTATCTATATGATCATTTTGGTCTCTATTCTTTTTTAGAACATTTTGACGCTAGACATTTCATTTTAGGGCAAAAAGACACCTGACATTTGATAGAATAGTTACTTTGACCCTTATTCTTTTTTGGAGTATTTTAGCTCTCAACGTTTAATTTTAGGATGAAAAAGCCCGTATTTTGGAGCATTAATTGTGTGTTAACTAACAATTTTCATCCATGGAGGAGTCTTGATGCCGAAAATGAAATGTTTGGACCAAAATGCTCCAAAAAAAAAGAATAAGGGTCAAAATGATTAATACACAATAAGGTCTAATTTCAACATTATGCCTAAGTTAATAGTATCAATGAATTTGACTGATTAACAACAGAAGTCTCGATTACAATTGTTCGCACCCCAAATAAAAAAATTTCAAAGACGAAGGAACAGAAGTACAAACTAAAGTGATACAAAACCAAATCCTATAATGTTTTTATCTAAGGTATTATTCTCATGTTTTCTAAAATTTACTTCATTTCTCACTATATATATGTATACATCATCTTCCATTTTATCTCCAGTTACTGGATTGATATTTTTTTTTCACACGTTGAAGTTGAACTGCTGCTGTAAGAACAAAAAATCATCAGAGTTCAAGAAATTATCTGATGCAATATCAGCTCCATCTAGCCATGGCTGGAAATCCATGCCATTGTTGTAGTAATTAGTAGAGGGATTTATAAAAGATGAGTATTGATGAGAGTAACCAATCTGGCTAGCTTGAAAGTAGTCCGGATTCGGGTTGTCGTTAACCGGGACGTTAACGTAATAATTAGACAAATCTGAAACCGGCGAAACTTGAGTCTCTGATGAGGCTGAGGTGCTGGAATTTTCAGTGGTGATGTAACTTAGGGTTACTCGTTTGCCTCCGAACTCCTGAGGCATAACGAATTGTCCCGCGGTGGTGGAGGCCACTGTGGTGGTCGTGGAATTGGCGGCGGAAGCTTGGATTTTTTCGACTAACCTCGGCATCCATAGGTAACGCATAGTGTCCTTGAATTGCTTGCTGTTCACGTCACATTTAAGTTGCTTGGCATGCTTTTGGACTCGAGTTCTCCAGTAGTTTTTGATCTCATTGTCCGTTCTTCCGGGCAAGTGTTGAGCAATCTTCGACCATCTGCAATCGATTTAACGAAAATGATAACGTTATCGACATAGTCACATACTCACAGTCAGAGTAACAAAAACTCTGGGTTCATCTCTGAGTGTTGTCATATTACATCATTAATTAATAAGATTTCGAGTTCGAGTTAAAAGATTACCGGTTTCCCCACCGAGAGTGAAGTTCGAGAATCATAAATTGTTCTTCGAGGGTGATGTTTCCGCGTCGAACATCTGGACGAAGATAATTTAACCATCTTAATCTGCAGCTTTTTCCAGTGCGTTTGAGACCTGTATGTGTCGTTGGAATTCTATTTAGATACCATAAGCTTTGGTAAAGTTATGTACATATGTATAGATGGATGGATGCATATATGTATGAATGCATGTATATGTGTATGTATGTTTGTATATGTTGTAGAACAAGTGCTAGATATGAGCTGTTGCTTTTTTGCTTGAAAACTTTGATTATTATACGAACATCATGAACCTCACACTCAAAGCCACAAACTCTCTTGCTTTTTTTCCCATGGAACATGCAGCTTTTACTTTTCCAAGCTGGTAATAATTTAACCCCCAAAACTAAAAGCGAGTGTGAGAGAATGCTTTGATTCAACTCCTAAACCCTAAATGTTAAAAATTTCAAATTTTCGTATAATTTAAATATTTATTTTGTATTATCTTTAATGATCTAATTTTACGCTCCTAAAATTTTATGATTTTACATCCCTTAAAGTTCTAATATACTTCCTAAAGGTTCACAACCTCTTATAAAAAATCATGCGTGCATCCCCAAATATGATATTAATCATGTTTTGAGAATTCAATCAAAACACTTTGAAGCTTTGGATCAATTTAAAATTTGAACAATAGTTGGAGGATATCCGATAGAATTAACCCAAACGAAAGAAAGAATGAAAAACCAGGTTTCTTTTCCTTTTCTTCCTCATCAGAAACTGAAAAGGTAAATATGAAGTTGGCAGTTCTGTACTGTTTTATGCCATGAAAAACAATAAGCTCTCAACTCCATTAAGTCCATAACATGATGAAACCATTTATATACATAAATACATACATACATGCATATATATATATGTATATATTACCTGCGTCATGAGCAAGAGAATTCCATCGACCTTCACCATAAGTAGCAATGTAATTGACGAGCTTTAAATCTTCTTCAACAGTCCAAGGACCTCTTCTCAGATCCATCTGATCATCTTGTTGATCACTTTGCACGTTACCCTTTGCTTTAACATCCATTATTTCCCCTTTAATGGAGTTTCTCAGAATATATATATATATATATATATATATATATATTATGTATGTATGTATATGAGAAAAATATCCTTGGTGATAGAGAAAAGGAAGGAAGAAGATAAGGAGAGATGGCTCAAAGTGGGGGGTTTTATAGATGGAGTTTGGTCTTTGAAAATGGAAGTAGCAAAAGGGGTAGCTCCCCAATAGGAACTTGCTTTGGTTTAACTACACAAATTAACTCATTAATTAATGGACTCAATTGTAATTATTATTGTAGCAAATAGGCCCTTTGAAGCTTGACCTTTTGACTTTTTTTTTCTGTGTGTTTGTCTTTTTTTTTTCTTTTTAATTTTCATCAGCCCATGGAAATCGTTTTCTGTTCTTTTTCTTTTTTTTAATTGTCTAATTCTGAATTCCATCCTTGTATTTTACAAATATTGAAAAGTTAATTCTTATATGTTAATTTATAAGAATTAGATCTTTCTGCTTTGTGAATAATGAGAAGTTAATCTAATTGTTTATACATATTTCAACTCGAATTAAGGACGAATCCAGAGTAGACAGTGGTTATTTTTAAGAATGTACATAAGATCCGAATTCAACGAGTTTCAATCTAATTTAATATAGTTATTTTTTTATAAATTAATTTTGGATTGGGGTTTTTTGAAGGTAATAACGAGAGTTTATGTTTGTGGTGAAAAATTTCTGACATAACCAGATCCAAGATAATAATATAATTATTTCTTATATATTTAAAGATAATTGTGATAATACCTTTCTCTCTATATTTATTTTTAATTAAGTCCTTATTTTACCTAATAAAATGATAATTCAATTTTTACCTTAAAAATCGAGTTAAGTTTCAAGTTAGGTCGGATCTCAATTTTTATTTACATATAAATTATTAAATTGTTAATTTTCATATCATTGGTTTAACAAAAGTTGTTTTTTACAAAAATAAATTCATAGTTAAACCTGTTTCAATAATCAAGAAAAATGAAATTGATAATTAAACCTATTTCAATAATTAAGAATTCAAGTTATAGAAAACTTATTTTATTGATATCTTTTGTTTTGAAGGGCTCGTTTTTATTAGATGTTGTAAATTTACATGAAAACAATTATATAAAAAAAGTTACGAGTAAATAAATTACTATATTATTATATTCAATGTGTTGACGGTGTATTATTTATAAATAATTTATAAAATGGAAGTTAATTAAAAATCAATGAAATGTTGTAATTACATAGGGTTGCTAATTGGTGTAATTAATGATGTTTAGGCGGCTGTGTGGGCATGGCTCTACTACTCCCTATTTCAACTTGCATGCAAGCAACTGGCAAACACCCATTCCATGTTCCATCCTATATGCCTCTCGATATTGCTCTTTCTCTTCTCTACCCTAAAAAATATTTATAAATCCGTCACTAAATTCACGTCATTACTTTGAGGGTAAATTATACTCAAATTATCGTTTTAATCATTAAACATTTAAAAATTATAGAATAATCATTAAATTTATCTGAATTTTGATAATTTTAATAATTATTCTATAATTTTTAAAAGATTGGTGACCTATGCCAGGGATGAACCCAGGGGTCGGGGCCAATTGCCCCCTGAAAAATTAAAATTACCATATATTTAAAAAATTTCTTATGTATTTCCTATTGAAAGTCTATTTCACCCCCTAGAATTTTAGTTCTCTCCCTGGAATTTTAGTTCATCCCCTTAAGTTTAAGTTTTGTCCCCCAACTAAAATCCTACTTTTGTCCCTGCCTGTGGCGAATACAAAAAATATTTTTGAGGGTGGGCACACTGTAACAATAACACAATATTTTCGTATGGGGTGAGCATAAATAAAATTTTAGGGTGCGCACAACTAATAAAATAAGTAATTAACTGAAAAAATTCAAATTCCAAGGTGGGCACGTGTCCACCCTGGGCAAAGGGTGGATCCGTCATTGCTGATGACTACAAAATCATTTGAGCATAGTATAATGGCCTTTGATGTATTTTACCCTAATTTAAATAATAACAACCGATAGTGTTATCATATTGGACTTAGTAATAATAAATTAAAAGAGATTAAATAATTAATTTTAGCATAATGAAAGGACTAAAACTATGTTGATAGGAATAAATTGATATCTTCAATCATTGGCGGTTCACCCTTTTTTGGTTTAGGTGGAGAGTTGGTTCCAGTGAGAGAACGACAATTGGTCAGTGTTTTTATGAGAGAGAGAGAGAAAGAATCATGAGCATAAAGAAGAAGAAGAAGAAGAAGAAGAAGAAGAAGAAGAAGAATGGTGTATAGAGGTTGTGGAGATTCCAACTATTTTTTCGATCGTGTTGAGAGCTATTTATAGAGATTTTTAGCTAGTGGTGTTAGACATGTGGTCATTATAGTTATTTGTAGGTCAACAAACTAAATAGATTTGATTGTCAAATCTTGGATCTCACTCTGGTAGGTCATGTGGATGCGTAAGAGGTCTTGTTTGTGTACTGTAGTTAACTTGGAAGCTTGTGGCCAAAGAAAAATGACTCTTAGGAAACTCCGATAAAAAGGGGACATGTTTAGAAATCTTGGCTGATAGAGAGCTAACAATTGTCGTAGGTCATGTTGATGAAAGCTTGAAAGTTTTCAAAGATATAATAAATTATTTTATATAATATGAGTGAGTTTAGGTCGATTTGGATCAAGTTATTTTGAATTCAATTTTTCTAGGTAAAAAGCTTTTAAATTTGTGGGTTAATTTTATTAAATATATTAATTAATAAATAAATTATTTTATATCAATTTTTAATAGCATGAAGTGATTAAAACTTTCAAGCTTTTTTAATAGCATTTATTAAGAATTTTCTTAACCTATTAATAATGCACACACACACAAACACACCCTGCAGATGCAGTTGCTCGAATTTAAGACCTTTAAGGAGAACAAATTTTTCTTTTTTCATTAAGATCACTTGATGAGTTCAAATTACTTTATATTGTTAAATATATATTAAAAATAAAGTATCACAGATCCATACAATAAAGATATTAGAATGGCTAAAAAATTTACATGATAAATTAAATATACAATAAAGTATCTTTTTTTACAACCATGAAAACCAATATTGATTCTCTCTGGGCGTACGTTAGCTAGTCTGATGAGCTCTAGGGTTTTCGTGTTGGCTGTCATGGGTTTTGATCAGATTTCTTTGGGTTTTTACTTCTACTATTTGTTTTGTGATTTCTACTACTTGAGATTTCTTGTCTTTAGTTTTCTATTACTCGTGATTTCTTATTTTCAACTTTATTCTGCTTGTGTTTGTTTGGGTTTGCTTCTTTATGGGTAGTTTGAAGGGTTTTGTTCATGGTTTATTTGTCTTTGATTGGTGGTGATTCGATTGCTTGTGGGCTTGGCGATTAGGGAGGGGAGAGTTTTTTTATCTTTGGGAGCTACTGTGGAAGGAGGTGTGGATGTTGATATTGTGCCTCCTTTGCTTCTTGATTCAAGTAAAGATTGGAGGTCTTTGTTCATTGATCAGTCTTGGAGTTACTTTCATCCGATTAAACAAGATGAGAATGCCTTGGTGAAGCCTCCGCAGGAGGTGTTGCTTGATGGTGTGAAACAGTGGTAGAATGCTCTATTGGTGAATTTTCTGGGTAAGTCTTCGATTCTGAGTAATTTTCCAGAAAAATGTAATTAAACTATTGGGTAGAGAGGGTTCAATCGAGATTAGATTCTTGGTGCCTAGTGTATATATCCTTAATTTTCCTTTTAAGCGTGTTTAAGACTGGGTTTTAGAGTTTGGCCCTTGGCATATTCAACAAAAGGTGATTATTATGAGGCAATGAAAGCATATGATGATTCCTGATGTGTATAATCTTAGTTTTGCTCTGGCTTGTATTAAGCTCTTGCATGTGCCTTTGGAGTTGTATTCTCAGCAAATGATTGATTATATTTCTAGTGCGATTAGGAGACCTCTGTATATTGATCATACTATTGTAATAAAGGAACAACTTGATTTTGCTAAGATTTGTGTTGACATTGAGGTGTGGGGTGAGACTCCTAAGTCTATCATGGTTGATATTGGTAAGTGGAATAAGATTCTTATTGGTGTAGAGTTGGTGTGGGCTCTTTCGAGGTGCGATAGGTACCATGTTTTTGGTCATGATGATGAGAGGTTTCCTATTAAGGTTGTTGAGGTTATACAACCTGATTGTGTTGTTTGTAGGGATACATATATTGTGAATATTTCTTTAATGGAGAGGAAGGTACCTGAGGTTAGTATTGTTGCAAGTGAGAGTTTGGTTGCTAAGGGTTGTTCGAATGTTAGTCATGATTTTGATGATAATAGGCATGTAGTTAATCAGAGAGAACTGGCGGTTGTGGGTGTTATAGAATCTGATGGGTGCTCTGTTACTGCTATTTAGGATGTTAATGTGGGTAAGATGCGGAGCCCAAACAAGTTTGTACCTTTGGATGATATTGTTGAGGTTGTTCCTAAGGATGTTATTTCCCCTTGAAAATATAGTGTTGTTGCGGATGAGATGGCAGAGTTCATGCAGCAGTTGAAGCTAAGGGGAAAGAGGGTGGTGAAAATAAGAAAAAAGTAAGATAAAGGTGGTTCGAGGGGTGGTACCTCTATATCTTGTATATGATTTTGACTTGGAATGTAGAGATTGTAATAACATCTCAAAGCATAAGTAAATTCTGCATTTGGCTAGGAATTTGAGGCTTGAGGTGTTTTGTATACTTGAAACTCGTATTAAGGAGAAGAGTGTTGAATGTGTTTTTCAATGGTTGTTTAGTGGTTGGAATGCTATTTGAAATTATTTTAAGGCTTTTAATGGTAGGATTTGATTTCTGAGTAGAGGTCTCTGGCAGAGTGAAGAAGTCTATAAGACTTACCGATATATTTTTTGTTTGCTAAAGTTAGTATGGTTAACTAGAGAAGAGTTACATAGTATTGTTAGGGGTAAATGATAGGAAAATTGGTCAAAGTTGGGTATGTTTCGAGTTGA